AGCAAAGACCCTTATTCAAACAACATTGTGTAATGATGACGTCATGATGACGTCATCCGGTGTTTATTTATAGGCAATTAAATTGTTACACTTTTAATATTTAAAAATGCATAAGAAATCAATCGTACGCGTCCGCAGCATTCTGTTGCCAGCAAGTGGTAGAGTAGGTTGAGGTCTATATTTCATTCAGTGTGCGTGAAATCACGTGACCCTTGCTTCCGGTCGAAAAAGGCCAAAACCGGAAGTGGCTTATAATTTGAAAGTGGTAATAGATATGAACTTGCTTTTAACGGTGTTAGTCTCTTGGCTGATAGTATTCTTCAAATCATCTACCGATGACGTCATGCAATCTTCGAGCGCCCTCTAGCGACAGGTTGAAAATTTTCAAAAATGTATATTGAATAGATGTCTGTGGCGAAGTTTGTCGGAATCGCCTAAATATTGTTGTATATGATGACCTTGACCCACTTAAGACGTGTGCGAAGTTTAAGGTGAATGACGTCATCAGACCGGAAGATAATGAAAAGACTCTTTTTCCTTAGAAAATTCCTGAAAAATCAACCATGGCAGTTTTTATATTAGTTTTTACCTTAATTGTCTATTTAAGGGTAGGTCTAAAACGTTTCAAACATTCGAGGCAATAAGCAAACTCGGATATGCCCCGCGCACGCTTAAAACTTCAGGTTGACAATACCTCTGCTTTAAAACATGCACAGGACGTCCACAATGTACAGTACATGCACGTATATTGTACGTTGTACATATCGTATGTCAGTCAGCCCGCGCACAGCGCACGTGTTGCTGAGGTCAAATCCTGTCCACAGTGACCGTTTTAGCCGATTTCCGGCTAACTTTGACAGATTTTATGTTCATTCGTAGTGATAGTCAGGGACATTGATTAAAACAAATCATAATGCGGAAAGCCCTATCTTATGTTGCAAACAGACATAGATCTCTACCTATATGTCTATGGGTCCAACAGATAATCAATATTGGGAACAGCTCTGTGGTTGTTCACAACCACAATTTCTAGTTTTTACCTGGGTTTTTTTTTTTTTTGGCTTCAAATGTCGGCTGATGACTGCAAATGGTGCCCGACTAAACTTAGTGCAAATATATGGGAGTCCAGAGAGGCCACATAAAGCTTATTCTCAATCATAACCCCATCTAAAAACACGTTAAAATTGTGCAGCAGCAGGATTCCAGTCAAATCAGTGAGTTTGGCAGTTTTGAGACATCATCTTGTATTGAAAAAAAAACTTTTTCATTTTGCCGACGCGCATGGCTACGGCGACGCGCGCGCATACCAGAAACCGGAGACTTTTTTTTGTTGCCTAATTCATTTGTTTTACCATACTTAAATTACTCAATCTTGACCTGGGGTAGTTCGCCATCTATTAAGTGCAACAAATTACTTACTTTACAGAAACGAGCAGTTCGTATAATTTCGAATGCTGGCTATCGTGATCATTCTGCTCCATTATTTGCTAAATTAAATATATTACAATGAAATTACTTATATTACCTTAATTTAGGAAAACTAATGTATAAATGTATGCATAAATTACTTCCGTCATGTTTTAATTTTTGTTTTACCTTAGCATCTAACGTTCATGTATATAATACTCGAAGTAGTGCTAGGGGAATTTGTTTGTCCAATTTAACAGAACGTCAATGTCAAAAAATAGTGTTATTCACTGAGGCACTTTGTACTGGAATAGTTTAGATGATTCTCTTAAATCGTTACTTTCACTATCTGTCTTTGTCAAAAATTTAAAAACTCATTTTCTCGAATCATATTCATAAATTGAAATTCCATTATTTTGTGTATTAATATTTAGGCCTTGTCTCACGCTTGTCCTGTCTGTCTCATGTATTGTTTTGTTTGTCCTTTGGTCGTATGTTTGTCCATAGGTAAGGGCACAAAAGCGTTCTGCTTAACCTTATACCTAAATGTTGTCATTTAATTTCACACTTTATAATTAATCACTGTGTACATATCTATCATATATTATACTAGTGACTTTTTCTAACGTATACATGTTTGTACATAATTGTAATGAATGACATCATTGAAATAAATGTTACTACTACAATTTTAAATGCATTTATACATTGTTCTTGATCATAGTAATCACAATTAATAGTAGGAGCTTGAAAGTGTATATCAGGATCTATGCTAGTTGTCACAACAGTATCGTAGTTAATTTCATATGATCAGGTACATACAGCAATGCTTTACTCCTGCACACAAGGACCGTCAACACACAGAGATGTAAACAATGATAACATGAACATTTAATAAAACAATAAGCTTGAGTATAAATTACACAGACAGGTCATAAAATACTTCTCCCTTTAGACAGGTTCGAGAAAGCCGCTGTGTGGGCTGTGTATGCCTTTAGTCTTGGATTGTGTACGCCTTGGCAAACTGCATTTTTGCCAACCACGGCCTGCAAAACTATTGAAGGTCCAACACTGCAAAAATGCAAAAGAGTTATTACAGATCACTAAAATATTATTTGATACTAGAAAATACAACATCTATTTCCCCGTGTAGGTCTTGAATTCCCCAGTGTGCAGCTTGTATCTGATTAATGGCGGAATAGAGCAAGGGATGTAGGCGAATTGTACGCGCTCTTCTCGTCGGATGGTCGGTAGATTGTCTTCCCGCAGCTTCTTACGGAAATCCCGGACCCTGGTTGAAACATCATCTGATATGTAGATTGTTGAACCCTGGTACTTGTTGCCTTTCAGCTTCGCTGCATTTTTTTAGGATGAACTGCCTGTCCCCGTAACGGAGTAGCTTACATTGAATTGGACTTGGTCTTTGACGGCTTGTTGTGGCCGGAGTTGTGGCTTGATTGGCCGGTCTATGTGCTGGGGTTCGATGGGCCCGTTCAATCTCCACATCGATCTTCGGCACCTTCCAACTTCATATGATTTGTGAGGAATTCAGACACAAATTCCTCACTAGTCTTGTCTCCCTCAGCCCCCTCCGGAACACCGTGAATGATAATGTTGTTACGCCGGCTCCTGTTCTGTATATCTTCCATCTGGTTAGTAAGTTTATCGATAAGTTGGTAGTTACCACCACATCTGTTGTTGATCAGCGCTACCAGATCCTTGGTTTCCTTGTTGGCGAATTCCACTGCTGTTTCCAGGTCGGAAATGGTCTTTTCGTGATGATCTACCTTGGACGTTATCTCTTGGAACTTGCCTTCAAGAGTTAACAACCTAGATGCCATGGAGTCAAGGGATCTGATGATCTTGTCCAGCTTTTGGTGGATATCTTGTTGACAGTGGCAGCCATCTTGCTTGGTCTCAGGAGTGGACGTTTCATTGGGAGGGGACGCTGTTGTTGATTCTTTCGTTCCCCTAGTTCTTCTTTGACTTCTTGAAGACTTGTTGTCTTCCGACTGGTTTCCCATCATCCTGGCAACGGTGTTATGATAGATTTGATGCAGGAAAGTAACACACAGCAGTAGTTTGTAGTGAAAGATTGGGAGAGTAAGGATGAACTCAGTGTGCACTGTCTGTGGTATTCATTTACTATAATCAATAATAGTTTAACATATAACAGACGTACATAGCTAATGGAAACAACTAAAATAACTGGTGTGGCCATGGTATAAACAACAAGACTAGCCTATTTAGCAATTGAGTAACAACGTGCAGAATTCTTCTGGTCAAAAGTCTTGTTACCATGGATACATTGCCTAGAGCCTTAGAAGCACTGAGCTCTGGTCTACTTATCCAAACAAAGAACTACACGTACTGTCTTAGGTAATGGATTTAACATCTGTTGCTGGACCGCAATCCTCTACAGCTTGTCTAAAAAAAAATGTAAATAGGGATGCAACAGTTTTGTGTGGGGAGGAGCAGATCGGGTCCCTACATGCGCCCCCCAAAAAAATAAATGTTGTCCCAAACATTTCTGAAAATATTACAAATATTTTTTTTTTAAATCAAGAAAACTTTCATGACAGTCTAAACTGGGCAAAAAAATTGTTACATGGCTACACTTAATTTTTAAGGAAAAAATTACTCAAACTATTTACTAACATCAAAACTATAAATGCTTCAGTGCACAAGTGGGACATAGGAAATATCTAGCTCAGAAATGCAAACAAACTGTATGCTATTCAGTAGTGTTTCCCAAGCACTGCATGAATATCGAAGTCAAGGGTCCTTGAGTAGCTAATTCTTGGAAGCCAAGGACCTCTCAATCAAAAGGATCATTCCATAATTTCCGAGCCTTCCAACATTGTTAATGTAAATGCAACACTTTGAAGCCTAACAAGTGTCTCTGTTACAGGATGGCATTAACTTCTGATGGAGACTCCTCATCGCATTAAACTCGGTGGTGGGTTGGAACCCATTAAGCCTCAAGTGTTCACGAATGTCTCCAAGTACCCTTTGCTGGCCAGCCTAATCCAGTCCATCCTTAACTCTTTTTTACTTGTGGTAGTAAACAACCGAATTTCTGCCATCTGGCCTTCGGAACATCTTTACATGTATGCCACTCCTATCCGTGGGGTAACATCTCCGGGACAGGCCCATTCTGAGGGTACATCAATGGGACTGGTCCATTAAGAGGATACACGTAAGGGAACTGATTCATAGGTGGTATCCATGCAAAGTTTTGAATCTGCGGTAACCATGTCCAGCCACCTGCACGGGTCATTGGGGCATTTGTCCATGGTCCTTGGTGTGGCATCTGTGGCTGAGGCACAACAGTTGGAGTGGCTGAATGCTGAACATGACTCACTCTTGGCTCACCCGGGACATCAAAGGTAAATCTGGCTGGGGCTTGTCTATTTCGCGCTGGACGTTCGATTGGATCATCCTCACCTGGGTTTGAGACTGGATCTTGACTCACTTCTGGCTCATCCTTGATCTCTGCTTCTGCAGGTACATGAGTAGGGATGGGCTTATCTGGGGCCAATGCATCACTAGGGTCAAGATCGATTGTGTCATCCTCCACAGGCGCTTGGGCATTAGGTTGGAAGGTGAGTGGGTCGATCTGACGTCAGTTCATCTGTTCCCTTGGAACCCATCCACGTGACGTTCTCTTCTGCTGAAATGTCGTCACTGGATTGGGCTAGATACTGAGGCTTGGGATGGGAGCGAGTCACCTTGCGTGGTTTTTTGCGTTCTATCTGTGGTTCCGGTTTGTCTGGAGCTAGACACTCGCATGGAAGGAGATGGTTCCGATGAAGAGTACGAACTCTACCAGAGTTGTCTTCTGGTTGTACATCGTACACCGGCATGTCACCTTTCTTCTGGATGACCACATGGATCTGCTTTTCCCAATAAGATTCCAGCTTACCGGGACCTCCAGGGAGCGCCAAACGTCGAACGAGAACACGGTCACCTGCCTTAAGACAACTGGAGTTTGCCTTCCTGTCGTAATAACCTCTGGCCCGTGTTCCGGCTTTCTCTGCTCTCCCTCTCACGATTGCATTGGCCTCCTGAAGCTTTTTCTGCCATTGGTCCACATACTTCTTCGGATTAGGATTTGATCAGTGGGTCCCGGAACCTGGCGTCAGGCCGAACAACAAGTCAACCGGAAGATGAGGGGCACGGCCAAACAGAAGATAAAATGGCGAATACCCTGTTGTCTCCTGTTTTGTGCTATTATAGGCGAACACTACCTTGTTCAGGGAGTCCTTCCAACGAGCCTTTTCTTCATCTGTTAAGGTTCTCATCAGCATCTGAAGTAGAGTCCGGTTGAATCTCTCCACCTGGCCGTTCCCCTGTAGGTGATAGGGCGTTGTTCTGGAGTGGCCAACGCCGCTGCACTGTTCTAGCTCACGAAACAGGTGATTCTCAAATTCCCCACCCTGATCGTGGTGTATCTTCTTTGGGAACCCAAATCAGAGAACGAAGTCGTTGAATATCACCTGGGCCACTGTCTTGCCAGATTTGTTTGTCGTCGGGTAGCATTGTGCAAATCGGGTGAAGTGGTCCATGATCACTAGAATGTATTGGTATCCTCCCTTGCACTTCTCCAGATGCAGAAAATCGATAGAAATTAGCTCGAAGGGTTCGGTGGTGGTGATGCTAGACAGTGGGGCTCTGGTTGGAATGTTGGGACGTTTGTTTTTAAGACATCTGCATTCTTTGGTCACATATGTCTCGATGTCTCGAGCCATGTGCGGCCAAAAGAAGCAATCCCTTGCTAGGTTAACGACCCATTCTGCGCCAAGGTGTCCCATCTCATCGTGTAGTTCCTTGAGAACCCTGGCCCTGTACTTCTGTGGGAGGACTACCTGCTTACGTGACTGAGTCTTCCTGATGAGGATGCCATCTGTATCCAGCTGAAGCTGGTCCCACTCCCTCATCAGTGCTTGTGTCTCTGGTAGGTCCTCTTGTCACTGTTGTCTGGATGGTCGTTTCTTCAAAGTCTGGTAATGGATGACACGACTGATTTCACCATCTTCCTGCTGAGACTGTGCAAGTGAGGCTCTATTGAGGACTGGTTGTATTGGGACTGGGGTTTTCTCCTCTGGGTGCAGAGACTCATCATCCACACTAATAGCTGCAGCCCAGAAAACTTGATGCTTGCTGAAGGCATTAATGCCTTGAACTGTTGCTGTGAGTGCATTGGGTGTAATTTCTTGTGTACACAAGGCTGCATATGCATCAAAGTCCATGGGAATGCGGGACAGGGCACCGCATCTCTGTTGCTTTTCCCCGGTCTGTATTTGATAGAGAACCAGAAATCGGCAAGTTCAGCAACCCAGCAATGACCTGTTGCATTTAGTCTGGCGGTGGAAAGGATATGTCAAAGGGTTGTTGTCCGTGTAGACTACAAATGATGGTGCGTAGAACAGATAGTCTTGAAACTTATCTGTTATCGCCCATTTCAAGGCCAGGAATTCCAACTTCCCCGAGTGCAGATGGTAGTTTTTCTCTGCTGGGCTAAGTGTTCTGGACCCGAAACCAATCACTCTGGTTTTCCCTTCTTGTTTCTGGTACAGTACAGCACCCAGGCCCTCCTGAAATGCATCTGTGGTCAAGAAGAAAGGCTGGGTGAAGTCCGGGAAAGCCATCACCGGTGGTTGCATGAGACGGTCTATTAGGGAGTTGAGAATTTCCTGATGTTGTGGAGTCCATGTCACTGGCTGGTGCGAAGGGAGCGGTCCTGACTTCTTAGCGAAAGTGGATGTCCTTTTTTCGTCCGTTTCTTGGTCGGTACTGGATCTGGCTCGGCTTTTGAACTTCTTGATACAGACAGCAGATCATACAGTGGCTTTGCCCTGGAGGAGAAGTTTTCCAAGTACTGCTGGTAGTATCCCAAAAGTCCAAGCACCTTTCTCATATCACCGACATTTGCAGGTGTTTTCATCTTGATTGCCTGCAAAGCTGCAGTGTCTGCAGGGTCCGCTCTGTGTCCTGCAGCTGAGACCAGTCTCCCGAGATAACAGACTTCCTTCAGGAACAGGTGACACTTGGCTGACTTCAGTTTGATACCATGCTGCTGTAGGCGTTGCAGTACTTTCCGGACATTCTCCAGGTGTACTTCGAAAGTCCGACCATAGACCAGGACATCATCAAGGTAGACAGATTTTCCCACTGAGTCCTTCTAGACAGCCTTCCATGTATCGTTGAAACGTTGCCGGAGCATTCATTAGGCCGAAGGGAATGCGCACCCACTCATGGAGCCCCCACGGTGTGACAAAGGCTGTCAGTGGTCGGCTGTCCTCGTCAATGAACCCTTGATGGTAGACCTTCCTTGGTCCAATGTGGAAAACCAAGTGATCCCAGCCAGGCTATTTAGAACATCACGTACTCTCGGAATTGGCTGTCTGTCGGGGATGGTTTTCTTGTTGAGTTCTCTGTAGTCGACACACAAGCGAAGTGTTCCATCCTTCTTGCGTACGCAAACTACAGGCAATGAGTAGGGTAACTGAGATTTGGTGATCCAGCCTTTACTGAGGAGGTCAAGAATGTGATTTTTAACCTCGCTGTACAAGGGACGTGGTATGGAGGAGTAATTGCGCCACACTGGCTGTTCATCATGTACGCGGATCTGCATCTTTAAGTCGGGCGCACATCCAGTGTCGCTCTTATCTCTTCCAAAGGCTTGAAACTCATCTTCCAACATCTTTTCTGCAGCTTTCCGCTGCTTCTCAGGGAGATGAAGGAGATCTACTTCTGGATTCCACTTATCCCCACTGGTTTGGACAGAGGACACTTCTACTTTTGTTTGGTCAGTCGTGGCTGGAACATCAGGCTGTATCTCACCGGGGATGATGGAATGGATTAGTTGTAGTCTGCCGAGTACAGTTTTCTGTTTGAGCGTGACAGGACTCTTGCTATGGTTGCAGACTAGGATGCACACCTTGCAGAAGGAACCCTTTGGAACACGTACAACTGATTCATACATCTGCAGACCATCCGGCCAGCAGCGTTGGACATCAGGCTCAAAAAGAACCGTCATGTCTTCAGTTACTGGTCCTGGATGTGCACTCCCAGTGAGTACCATGTTCTCTCCAGCTGGAATCACCACATCCTTTTTACCAGCTTCACCTCACAGAAATCATCTGGGTCGTTGCCATTGATGAAACCCACTAAAGCAGCAATCTGAGCGGGTCGAAGTCCAGGAAATGCTGACTTGATGGATGAAGAGGAATCTTCTGTCTTTACTAACATCTCAATTACGTTGTATACGATGATGGGTCGTTCAATCTCATCTGTGCTGACGAGGACAGGAACTGTCATTCCTTGTGCAACACCGTCTCCCCAGTCAACCTAAACTCTAACTCCACCCATCCTTTGAATGGGATAGGAGTTCCATTTGCTGCTGCAAGATTGAACTGCTCACCCGTTTCCATCAGCTCCTCAATGGCTCATAACTGAAGGTCTGGAAGATTCCGCTCCATCCAACCAAGGGGTACAATCGAAACTTGGGCCCCAGTGTCCAATAACGCATCAGTGCGAACTCCTTGGAGGGAGCAACTTACTGTGCATCTTCTACCAACAAGTCTAACGACTTTGTGATGTTGCTTCGGTGTAAGATGACAGACTAGCACCTGGTTTTCTGGACAAGGGGTTGACTTTGGTTTTCCTGTACCCTGGGACTCCTGAACTTCTCCAACTACTGCTTGTCCCTCGGCGGTAGTCCACTGGCGTTTCCCGAAGGTCCTCTCCTTTGATGACACCCCCTTGCAAAGTGCTCCGATGAGCCACACTTAAAACAGTGTGAGTGAGCAGGATGGCCCATTACTAGTCTGCCTTCAGGACCGGCATCCGTAAGGTCGGGGCGGAGGACTGGGGCGGCTTGGGGCTTGACCAGGTCTCAGACTCATCACAGCCTCCCGGATCTCTGCAATTTGGGCCTTTAGCAGATTTATATCAGCTGCGCTTTCACGGACCTCCAGGACGAGGGGATTGGACTTCTGTGGGGGACTCTTCTGCTCACTCTGCACTTCAACCGCATCAACACGGGCATCCTGAGAAGAACTACCTTTGCAGAGTTTCGACCGACTTTCTTCTTCGTTGGTAGCCGCGACGTTCAGATGCTCGAACAGGTCCTCATCAGAGATACTCTTGTCTGCAAGATGAGGACGCATCTCTGCCTTGACACTACTATCCCGCAGGCCCGTCAGCATCGAGTGGAGAAAGACACCCTGAACCAGTGCTGGCTCGTAAGAGAAAGGTTGAACCCGCTTCTTGAGAGGCAAAGAGCACTCTTTGGCGCAGCTCCAGAGCGCGAATCAGAAAGGTATGGGCAGACTCCTTTTGCTCCTGTGCAAGGCGGGACAGCTGATTGAAGAGCTCCGTGGCATCCTTCTCCTTGAAGTGGGCCCTCAGCAGTCGACGGAGAGTGGGGAGGGTCAGATCTGACTTTCCTTCCAGGTAGCTCCGAAGCTTTGCTCCTGGCACAATACTTCTGATAACTGCTGCGATGATTTCTTTCTGCGGGTATTTCTTTTCAACACCGACTTGAATCTGGTGAATCAAACTGGGGAAGGACAGCTTATCCTTTTGGCCAGGTTCCCCGATCTGACCGGCAATCTTGAACTCCCGGCGTAGCGTCATGGCAGCTGGAACTGGACCGGGCGATGGGGAGGGTGCTGAGGCCTCAGCGGTTGATGCCTCATCAGTTCCCGTCTGGGAACTTTGGGCGGGGCTGGAAACTTCCATCTTCCCAAGCGTCTCCTTCAAGGCTTGGAGCATTGACAGTCCCCCATTCGGCTGCTCGTCCACCTCATCACGGTTTAGATGGCGCGTGATGAGCTTCACCAGCCTTAGGTGAGACAGGTCAGGCTGAAAGCCAATCACATCAAGGCTACCTGCAACCTCCTCGAGTTGTGCTGTTGTCAAAAGGTAGAGGGCACTGTTAACTTCCTTATGGACTGCTTCCAGCTCCGTCGCCATGGTTACATGTACGTCTATGTTCGGGCAGGCATGGGTGTGTAACTGGCTTCTCTCAAAAGAGACTTACCAATTACAACCCGTCCTGGCAAGGTCGCCAAATGTTACACCTGCAACAGGGAGAGATGAATATGATGTTCTCTCAGTGTGGTCTTATTCAAGAATCAACCATTTTACAATGATACACAATATAAATAACATTATTCAATAATAGTTTAACATATAACAGATGTACATAGCTAATGGAAACAACTAAAATAACTGGTGTGGCCATAGTATAAACAACAAGACTAGCCTATTTAGCAATTGAGTAACAACGTGCAGAATTCTTCTGGCCAAAAGTCTTGTTACCATGGATACATTGCCTAGAGCCTTAGGAGCACTGAGCTCTGGTCTAATGGATTTAACATCTGGTGCTAGACCGCAATCCTCTTTATACAGTAGTGGTCCCACCCCAGCAGGGGTTTCTGGCCAACTAATTATTTATGCACCAAAACTTTCTACCTGGCCTATGCTCAACAGAATCTTCCTAGATCAAAACTTTATCCAATGGCTAATTCTGTTATCTAGTTCAACTAAAGTGCATTAAACAGAAAGAAAATATATACAAGTGCAAAGTATTGACAACCAAAATGCATCAAAATTAAAAGAATAATCTCCAACATACCTGCGACAGGGAGAGATGAATATGATGTTCTCTCAGTGTGGTCTTATTCAAGAATGACCACACATGGGCCACATGTTATGCTGGTACATAGGTACTAGCTAGTAGGACTATTCCAAAAATAAAAATAGGGGTGCAACAGTTTTGTGTGGGGAGGAGCAGATCGGGTCCCTACAGTCGTAGTAGTCGTAGTAGTCGTAGTCGTCGTAGTAGTAGTCGTAGTCGTCGTAGTGGTCATAGCAGTTGTAGGAGTCGAAGTAGCTCCTCTATATACAGTAGTCGTCGTCGTCGTCGTCG